ATGTAGGGCAAGTTGGTTGTAGTCGGTGTATTCGCATGCCTGGCTAGATCTTTGGCTTGGAGGTTGGCTAGATCTGTTAAGAACTCACGCCAAGTCGAATGTTGTTTGAGTCCTAGCCAGGAGATATATCCTTCAGGGGCCACTCCCGTAACTACGTCCATGCAAGACACATCAGCCCATCCCAGATTTGGAGTTGTGAACATATTAGTCAAGTACTACTCCAAAGCCTGCATGAAAGTTCTTCACTTTTGGCCCTTGAGGGCCTCAAGCTTTAATCTTGCTTTGAGCGCATCATGCTTGTCTTGGTGTTGCATGATGAGGAGATCCTCCAGAGTGTGAACAGGATTCACCTTCAGCCACTCAGTCATGTCAATTATTTGGTAACTTGCAGTGTCAGCTTGGAGTTCTATGAAACTCTGTACCGCGGGCTCGGTATTTGTGCCCATGATCATGCTTCGATCTCCCTGCGGTGTTCAGATTACCTCAAAGTATGAGCGCATGGAGCTGATGCACGAGGTAATATCCCCCCTCCTGTCATACTTGGACGGCAGCGTGACTGCCCTCTTGTCCACTATGAGACGGACGGCAGTGTGACTGCCCTCTTGTCCACTATGAGACCATTATACTATATGTCAACAGGAACTGCGTCGTTTTGGGCTGGCAAACCTGCATTTGGGACTGGGACAAGTGCAGAACTGCCAGTGTTGCCGCTTGAAGAGCTGGCACCGGTTCCTGCGCTCATCACCGTTCTACTTGCTCTCTGCATGAGGACTGAGTTAGGGGGAAAGATTGGGACAGCAACAGGACGAGGATTAGAAGGTCGAAGGATGGTCAGTTGGGCTGCTTGAGGCCTGCAATCTCAGCCTGCTGCTCTTGGTTCTGTGGCTCTAGAGCTGTCTCACGCGACTCAAAACTCTCTAAAGTTCGCAGTTGGACCAAGGCTGCTACAGCAATGGCTAACTTCTCCCTGAACCGGTTATCGCTGGTCTCCAGAACAGCCAAAAGGGCCACTTGGGCAGCAATACTCGTTGCGCTATTTGCTGCCTCTGCCTCCCTCTCTCTCTGCAATGCATCATCACAGAGTTTATGAAAGAACAGTTTCTCTTTTTCGTCCGCTAAGTTCATCATGGCCTGCCGTTGTGCAGAAGAGATGTGTGCCATGCTGGAGGATGGGGTATCAGTAGAACTCTCGAGAGGGGTCCGCTCTTTGATCACTTTTGGACTAACACTCCTGCTTGATATGTCCTCTAGGAAATGCTCCAAGATGCATGCCCAGCAATAAGGCTGCTTGAATGTTTCATAGTGAACAGCAAATGCCAAGCAGATTGCATATTGAATACTCCATTCATACGTTCTATGACCTGCTTAAACCACCACTACCTTTTCTGAACCTTGGGGAAAATGGGAATATACGCCACACCACATTTTTAGGGGGTCCCGACAAGGCTCGGGAGAAAAGAAATGTTTGGGCCTTGTGGGCCCGTTTGCCACCGAAAAAAATAGAAAAAAGGAGCAACTATGTATAGAGGAACAACGTCAGGGAAGGCTTAAAACAACGTGTGTTCACATCAGCAGATTTCCGCAGATGGAATACACCAGTGGGCAGCAACTCAGAGAATCACCAGGCAATGCTGCCGAGGCAACACGACTGCGCAACACCAAAAACAACTGCATGGACGACAGGGCAAGTGGAAGCGCTGCACGGCAACAGTGCAGTGAAGCACAGGGCAACACCAACAATGCAGCCAAACTACACGGTACACAAGGAAAAGATGCAGAATGCAAGGCATGTGGATGGGCGGCAATGCAGCAGTGCAGCGAAGCACAAGGCAACACCAACATCATGGCCACACAACATAGTAAACACAGCAGCTGCAAGAATGACCTGCGAAGCAAGCAGGATGGGGAAGAAAGGCTACGGCTGAGCGCAGACAAGGCAGTCTACACATCCAACATGGAGCAAAGCGGCACATCACTCACTCACATCACGAGTTAGCCCCACAGACTGTTGGTTCCCACCACGGGCTGAGCCAGGGATTCACTCCGACAGATGTCTGTCATCACCCATAAACCATATGCACCACAAAAACATCACGAGCAGAGTGGTTCCCTTAAGACTCAAGAGTCTTGCAGGAACTCCAAATAATGGACCATCTACTGTTTAGCACTTCTTAAAGGTGCTCTCTCAGACACAGAAAGTACTCAGTAAAATCCAGAAAGAGGAAAAACTTCAAAAACATACATAAAACTGATTGTGTGCGTGTGTGTGTGTGTGTGTGTGTGTGTGTGTGTGTGTGTGTGTGTGTGTGTGTG